GCAGATGAGCACATACAACATCATCAGGCCGCCCAGCAACATTTTGATCTTAAAAACGTCACGCAGCGTGGAGGACGTTAAAGGTCGGAGGTGTTTGCGGTTCACACGTTGCTGCCTCCCCCTTCCCCTCCTCCTCCTCCTCCTCCTCCTCGCACTCTCCTGTCTGCGTGATAGGGGGTAATTAGTCCCCTGCAGAGATGCCTCTGGTTGTCAGGGGATGAATAGCTCTCAGGTGAAGAGCAGGACACCGAGCAGGTGCACGGAGGTGCGGCTGAATCATTCATGTCCTCTGTGGGCTCGGCCCGGGTCAGCTGCTGTTCCTGCTGGCGCGCCCTCTTCATCCTGCTGCATGACCTCAGTGTGTTCTCCACGTGAAAGGCCGGATGGCGGCCATCAGCCATTAATCTGACAGACAACTGTTTACCTGAACATGGCTTTTGGTGCATCGGGGTCAGGGTTGGGTTGGGTTGGGGGGGGGTTATAGTTAATGAGTGACTGATCTGCACGAGGCTGGAGTGTAACCAGAACACAGACGGAGCTCAGAGCCTTCGCAGAACTGTTCCGCCATGTTGGCGAGTCTTTTTCCTGAAGCAGTTTGACATCAGCAGGTTGTCGTTATTTAGAGAAGCAGTTATGAATATTTTGGATATGCAAGTGACAGGACTTCATCTAATGATGATTTCATAATGTTCTGATTGAGTTTTTGCTTCCTGAACACTTTGGTTGTGTTGAGTTAAAGGTCGTCACCAGACATAACATAGACTGTAGATAAATGATGGACAAAGCTAATGTGACCTGTTGGTTTTGGTCCATATTTGTAGCAGAGCGAACAGCGTGGGAGACTGCGCGGGAGCATCACACTGACTTGGATACCTGCTGATCAGTGCTCGGTAACATCCAATTAAAATCCTCCAATTTCACCCAAACTGGAGCTCAGACTTGCTGCACAGCAGCCTCGTTAGCCAAAAGTCATCGCAGAAAGCAGCGAATCAGAGTCTGTGTTTTATACCAAACCACGAGCGTCGTAAAGCTGAGCAGGTAGCTGTGGTGCTGAAAACGAACCGAACAGCGGGAGAGTTTTCCCAAAGCGTAATGAAGGATCCGGATTCGCTGTATGGGAATGTAATTTGTTTTAAAGTGTTTGAACCGTCCTGATGATCCCGGACACAAGCTGAGGCTGCACTCATTAACCAGCTCTGAGTCACTGAGGCCCGAGCCGTGGGGGGTCGCCATGCATCACTCGGCACATTCGACACAAGTTAAACAGCAGCTCGCACACAGCTCAGGAATTTCCTTTGCTTCGGCGTGAAAGATCGAACCGTGTCCGTTTGCTCTGCAACAAACCTCACGCCACCCCCACAGGAAGTGTAAATGACCCGCAGGTCAAAGAGCCGATCATCAACCCGACGCACTTTACGCTACAGCCATGAAATTAAATTTAAAAAACAACAGAGCACGTCAGCTTCCCTATTCTGATGATTTCTCTCATATTTGGACAATTATTGTCCTACTGCAGTTATTTTATAAATGTACGTCACTGCCACACGTGGACATCCACAGAAAATGAGTCGAACGTCTTGTACCACTAACCCAGGCATCAGCAGCCGCTGCTGTGACAGCGCCATTATTCATCCAGATGATCCATAATCACTATATCTAATCCATACATCAGCACAAATCGCAGGACGAGATGCGAGATAAGAAAGAAAAAGCTGCATCACCAGTTTTAAAAATCTCCCAGATCAGTGAAACACCAGAACAGACACGCTCCCACACACACATCTGACTTCCTGTGACAACTCCTCTGCCAATCGGTGAGCAGAAAACCACCAGGTGTCACCTTTTACACACCTACAGGATGAGAAGCAGTTTTTTTGTAGTGATGTGCGGCGTGCTGATTGGAAGCTGTGTGCTGTGTCTGCAGTCGACGAGGCTGATCCTGGACCTGAACGAGCAGAACGAGCGTCTGAAGGAGCAGATGGAGGAGCTCCGGCAGCAACACGAGGTCGGGCACAGCGACACACAACGCAAACACCACGACCGATCAAACAGCACAAAGAAATAACACTAAAACATTTTCAAATAATTACAGTACAAATAATACAATCACAAACGCTGGGACAAATTCTGTCAGCTGCACCGATTCCAGCCTGCTCTGATGAAGCTCCACGTACGGACGCTGCTGATCACAAACCAGACGGTCCCGCTCCTCTTTAGCCCGCAGGACCATCTGGAGTGAGATCGGGACAAATTCATTAAAC